TGTCGTATAGATAACAGACCACAAAATCGTCCAAAAACTCTCAAAAAACATCATTCATTAGATGTTGAAAAGCTATTGGTGCATTTGTAAGTCCAAAAGGCATGACGTTGTATTCAAAATATCCATACATAGTTCGAAATACAATCTTTCATTCATCTCCTTCTTTGATGCATACTAAATAGTATGCTCTCTGGAGATCTATTTTTATATAGATCTTAACTTGATTCAACTGATCAAGAAGTCCAGATATTAAAGGTAGTAGATACTTGTTCTTGATGGTAATCTTATTGAGTCCTCGATAATCAACACACATCTGCAATGATCCATCTTTTTTCTTCACAGATAGAATTGGAGCTCCTGCCAGAGATTTAGAATGGCGTATGAAATTCTTCGCTAGATTTTCTTTAATATACTCCTTGAGTTCAGTCAATTCATTTTGTGATAAACTATAGATTGGACTGAATGGCAGTTGTGCTCCTTCTTGAAGGTCAATTGAGCAATCATAGGGACGATGTTCTGGGAGTGTATCCGCATTTTTTTTTTCAAATACATCTTAAAATTCTTGATATTAGCTTAAAATGCCACATGAAGTCTTTGCATCCTTAGAAACAGGTGTGGCATAAATAATATATGGTGACTCTTTCATAGTAGCATGCAAGAAAGCTTTTGCACCTATAAAAACGGATTTAATTGAATTGGAGTCATGACTCTCTACTTAATCAACTACACTGATAGTTATACTTTTAAAAAAAGTAAAAGTTTGAGAAATCTAATCTATTTGGGGTTTGTATTTTTCTAACCACGATAAACCTAAAATGACTAGATTAGATGGAGATCTAATGATATTAAATACTACAAAGTTATTATGAACATTGATTATTACTTCTATAGGAAGGGTTTTGTGAGTACTATCTCCAGAATATAATAGACGGCCATCTATGACTTCTACATGAACATGTTTAATTTTCTTTACTAAAGATAATCTATGCCTTTTAGTAAATTCTTTATTTAAGAAACACGCTGAGGCTACAGAATCTAACAAGGCATAGGCTTTGTAATATTTAGCTCCTAAAATAACATTTAATGTAAAAGAAGGAGAGGGTTTTGAGGAAAAAATAGGACCTTTACTAGATGTTGTGTAAGGTTCCAGCCGCATGATCCCTATTGTAGCTAGATTAACTCGTTTCCGACATATTGTCTTCTTAGACAACCATACTCCTAATTTTGTGGTTACGTCATTTTTTTGAATAATGTTGAGTAGTGTGTTTTGATTCTCTACAATATAACCATAATCCTTCTTAACGACGATGAGTCTTTTCTTGTTCAATAAGAGGTTTGAAAAGTGCTGTATCAATTTACATATCCTCTATTTCTGAATGTATGTATTGAAGAGATGTTGGTGTTGCTATTGAATTATATTTACGTTGAGGTCTACTTGTACGGTTCTTAGATCGAAATTCAAAAAGGTGATTGTCGTACTTAATAACAAAGTCAATTGCTTGACTCAATGTTTGAGGATCAAGTAAGTTGAGCATTAATTTTTTTACCTCATATTGTAATCCGTAGAGAAATTGGTTAATAAGTGCAGCATCATCCCACTTGATATCAGTTGTAAGTTGTCAAAATTGTGAACCATACAACGTTATTGATCGATTACCTTATCGTAAAATATGGATTTTATTGGTTGCAACACGAATTGCATCATGTTCTCCACACATAGATGAAAACTTTGCTAAAAAAAACCTCTAGATTATCCAATATTGGATCTCGTTGTTCAAAAAAAGATGAAAACAACGATAGTGTTGAACCTGAAAGAAATGTACCAATGAATCTAACTTACGATCTTGGAGTTGGATAGCTTTGGAGTTGAAGTTCAATCACAAGTTGTACTTGATTGATAAATCCTCAAAACTTGGATCTTGTGCCATCAAACTTCTTGGATAGGGCAATTCTTGATTTTCTAATACTGGAAGGGCGTTCCACCATAGGAGAAGGGACATGATTTGGTGCAGATGTTGAAGCAGCTCCAATCATTTCTATATCTATACTTCCTGCCAATCTTGTTGCTCCTTGTGGTGGTAAATTGACTTGATGCATCGCAAGCATTAACTCCTTCAATTGTTCTTGCATTTGCTCCATTGCATTCTTTATTTCAGCAAGTTCTTTCATGATAACACTTAAAAAAGAGAAAATGTTTAATATCACTCAAGACAAATAGAAGAGAGAACTTGAGAACAAAGAAAATACTAACGACAATATCAGTTTAGAAGAGGATAATCCGTAACTTCAAATATGCTTGTGTCTTATCAAGAAAAAGGGGTAATCCACTCTTAATCAAGATAAGACAAAGCAATGATATTGTAAGTGTACTCTTGTCAATCTGCCAAGGACAAGAACTCGATGGAAAAGCAATTCAGACAAGTAAGCCTTCACTCAAAGAAAGGTAACAAAATATAAATAAACAAGTATGTATATTAAAAGAGAAACTGGAATGGCTATTGCCAAAGATTAGAAAACATGAAGACTCTTCAAACTAGACTGAAAACAAGAAATGAGTTGAGAAGAGTGAAGAAGCCTTCACTCTTGTCTCTATATATACTATCTAACTAGAGGCTATGTGGCGACATTCTATAGGACCTCCAATATGTGTTGACTTTGTAGGACACATGCCTTGACTTACAAGGCAAGTTTTTCTACGTGTCGGCCACATAGTTAGCTTGGTCTTCAAGCTAACAACATGTGTGGTACATGGCTAATTTGTTGACCACGTTTCTAATCCAAAAGTCAATTAAAGACACCTATAAAGTCAAAGCAGAGTCTATGAAGCTTCTAGAAAGCTTTTATACCAAATACTATAGAATTATGTTTCTTTTATATACTTTTATTTATTTCTACCTATTTATATATATAATTACTGGCTTACATGAGTATGTCCGTGACATGAATTAATATTAGAACAATTACATGTTCGTTTTTAAATCAAAAAAGAATTACAATAATCATTTAAGTAGAAGATTTAAGTATGTTGCATTGATTTAAAATAATAATAATAATAATAATAATAATAATAATATGCTTCTATTATTATCTAGATTTAGATATATAAGTTACTTGCTAGTACTTTCAATAAGTGGATATTATATATTATCTTATCTAGCATCACCTTCTTACTATAATATATTTTTTAAATATTAAGATGATTTGTTTGAAAAAATATATTTTACTATAAATCTTTGACACTAATAAAAATCAACATCTTCAAAAATAATAACTATGTATAACTTAGACAAGAAATTGAAATCAATATTTTAAAAATATAATTGTACAAAGATATAATAATATAATAATTTCTTTCTTTAATCCAAATTTTATGACTTGTAAATCATCTTATTGGGTTAAAATTGTCTTTAAAATTTAATAGTTATATTCTTTTGAAGTCTATATCAAATTGAAGAAAGAATAAAATTAAATTAAAAATAATAAAAATATGAAATTAAATTATATGTTTGTGTGTGTTTTTTCTTTTTTTTTTGCAAAAAATAAAATCAAACTTTTTTTACACACACACACATATACATACACACACATATATATATATATATATATATATATATAGATATAATAAAAATAAAAATAATTCAAATTTTATTTGGTGGACTTAAACATCACAACATTTAAAACAATTAAAGATAATTGAAATAAGACAATGCATGTTGATTAATATAGAAATTATTTATAATTTTACTTTTACAAATTCCATGCACTTAACTAAAAATTCTATAGAAATGGCTTCACAAGTTTTTGCAAGCATTACTCACAACAATAATTTTTGTAGATATCAATTGAGCAAGATCAATAGTTTATAGTTTTTTTAAAAAATTTTAAAAATGTTGTGGAAGTTATCATAAGTAGCGATGATACATTATCCCATCTCTTACTAATGACATTCACAATTGCAATATTCATAACTTATGCTAAAATATAAACATTTTTTTAAAGACAATTGTAATTTTATTCTATTTTGTGGTGAGTTTTCGATAATTTATGAGTTGTTAGAATTACATGGATACACACCCAAACACACACATACACATAAATGTTTTGAAAGTAAGGAAAGATATGCACCAAACATTAATTGCTTTGAATATGTGCTTGTACAATTCCGGGTTGGAAAGTTTATTATTTTTCATCCATAGTTATCATCCACGTTTCCATCAATACTTTCATCATCGTAATTTAATCCACATCAACGCGTCCCCTATTTCCGCTCCTCCTCGTTCCCATGACCGTGTTTCTTGGGCTGGGGGTTACATTGGCGCCCGCCGGCCGGTCCCGGCGGCACTCGGGAATCCAATGACGCCCAAGTGGCAACCCACGTTACCAGCCGTCCACATGACAGTTCATTCATGTAACATCCGTCCACCACCTCTTAGACATGGATTCGCTACGTCCGCGTTAGCTCGAGTCTAAGTTTAGTCCGTTGCAGTCTCTCTGCATCGGGGGAGATGCTGCTCCTGCTGCAATCGCCATCGACCATCGACGCAGCGGGTGGAGGCTTCCAGTTTTTTTACATTAATCAATGGAGAGTGGAACGATGTTCGACGGAAGAGTATTTTAATTGCGCAATTGATTGTCGTGCTCATACCATATCTTCCTGAATTTGAGCCTCAGTTCCACCGGATAGTGATTCCACGTTTTGATTTCGGTTGCGCTAAAAATGGATTAGCAGAATTGTGCAGAACAATGGCTGAACGGTAGTTAAAACAGCGTCCTCACGTCGAGCTGAACTACTCATAATCTTCAGTGTAAGTACACGTGGTCTTCATTCGAGGCCACGTCTTGCATGCTGAAACTCACCACAGCGAGAAATGTAGTTTCCTAGATCCCTCGTAAGTGGGCAAGCGGCGATGACAACGTGGCAGGGGGATATGCCATTTAAGTGGATCCTGAGGCTAGGGTGGTTGGGTATCTAGGGACGTTGAGGATCCACCTCCCCTACTAACACTAGCGTTTTCCCCTTTCTTTTCAAATGATTTCATTGTCTTACCCTCAAAATCTTGAAGCTTGGCTGAAAAGTCTCGCCCCTCGTCTAGTATGTCGCAGTGAGGGAGCGAGGAGATCCTCCTACGCGCTTTTGTCCAGAGCTTGTCGCTGGCGGTAGCAACCAACACACCGAGAGCCAGAAAAATCAGCAGGACGAGGCTCTGTTGCTGCAGGTGGGTGGTTTTTGGCAATGCCCTTCCCAGCTTGAGTCTTCACCGTTTGCTGGTGCTGAGAGACTATGGCCTGTCGCTGCCGATGGTTTGTAACCTTCGAAGGGTTAGAGAGGTAGATGGTTTGCATGGTGGATCGCATCAAGTTTGTTTCTTCCTCCGAGGGTTTTGTAGCCTTCGAAGGGTTAGTGAGGTAGATGGTTTGGATGGTGGATTGCATCAAGTTTGTTTCTTCCTCTCAGGGTTTTGTGGATAGCTTGCCAGTCGTTTATTTTGGTTGGTCTTCGTGCGAGTTGCAAATGTGGCGGGTGCCGTGAAGGCTGCTCGGAAAGCTCTAAGCCACTGTTTATTGTTTATTTTATTCCCGGAAGGTGTTTGTTGTGAGGCGGGTTTCCAGCGTCATAGAGTGTTGTGCATGCCAGTTCTGTGGGGTTTTTTTTTTTTTTTCTTTTTCTTTTTCTTTTCATCGTAGCTGTTGTTCGCAAGCTCACTCGGTTATTCGGGGACATGCTTTTTTTCAGTTTTGGAATTTCAGTGTATGTAGGTATATTCTTGCCCCGGCACAAGCACATCAAAATTATACATTTGCCTTAGAAGACTTCGTGCAAGAGATAGATGTGATTGAGTTGGTTACTTCTTTGACGAAAGTGCAGGTCTTCTCGTGTGAGCCTCGATAGAGGAAGCTCGCATTGCGTTGTGTGAGGGTATCTTGGATGTCCTTGTGTAGAAACTCAGAGAAGTGGAGAAGGTGAGCACCGTTCCACCGAGTGTTGTGAGCTCGTGGATTAAAAGGCGGGCTTATTGTTGCGGCAGGGTACAGATTTGGTGGATCTTGAAGCGGAGTGCCGAATCTGTCAGCCCTAATTGTTGGGGTCGCTTCACAGTTTCTCCATGGCGAAGAGCGAAACGGGGGCCGCTGCCAACAGCGGCGTGTTCAGGAAAATTGTCCTGAGTTACACCTACGTTGCAGTATGGATCTTCCTCAGCTTCTCTGTGATTGTTTTCAACAAATACATCCTCGACCGCGGAATGTACAACTGGCCATACCCAGTCTCCCTAACTATGATCCATATGGCGTTCTCCTCCGGGCTCGCCTTCCTCCTGGTGCGCGTGTTCAAGATGGTGGAGCCCTGCGCCGCGATGACTAAGGACCTCTACTTCAGATCCATCGTTCCTATCGGCCTCCTTTTCTCCCTCTCCCTTTGGTTCTCGAACTCGGCGTACATCTATCTGAGCGTCTCCTTCATCCAGATGCTGAAGGCGCTCATGCCCGTGGCGGTGTACTCCCTCGGGGTCCTCTTCAAGAAAGACATCTTCAACTCATCGACTATGGCGAACATGGTCATGATCTCGATCGGTGTTGCCATTGCTGCATATGGTGAGGCGCGGTTCAACCTCTGGGGCGTCACCCTACAGCTTTCAGCTGTATGCGTGGAAGCTCTCCGCCTGGTCTTGATCCAAATTCTTCTCAACTCCCGGGGAATTTCCCTCAACCCCATCACTACGCTCTATTACGTCGCGCCCGCGTGCTTTCTCTTCCTCTCTGTGCCCTGGTACCTGATCGAGTACCCGAAGCTGCTCGACACGTCGTCATTCCACTTCGATTTCTTCACGTTCGGCCTCAATTCAATGATCGCCTTCCTGCTTAACATTGCTGTGTTCGTGTTGGTCGGGAAGACGTCCGCGCTCACTATGAATGTGGCGGGCGTGGTGAAGGATTGGCTTCTAATCGCCTTCTCTTGGTCCGTCATTCTGGACAAGGTTACCTCCATCAACCTCTTAGGCTACGGCATCGCTTTCATTGCTGTCTGTTACTACAACTACGCCAAGCTCCAGGCCATGAAGGTCAAGGAACAGCAGAAGCTGCAGAAGGTTGGTGACGAGGAAGAGAATTTGCGGCTGCTGGATGCCAAGTTGGAGAGACACGAGGAGACCCTACCGCCGGCTCACAAGTCCGACGCATAGATTTACTAACTTTTAATCCCCCCCGCCCCTCTCTCAAACACCTTCCTGTTGAGCCGCTGAAACCTATGGAAGGCTCTCAGCATCTCACTCTGCTCTCGTATCTGTAGCATGATTGCTACAGTGGAGCTTCTGAGCTCAAAGACGGCAGGAATTTTCATACTTGACTTTCTAACCTTAGTTATTCTTATGTGGATGTACACACTAGGACAGACAGACAGACGGACAGCATGACCAACCATGGAGCATGGATATTAGGTATGATTTATGGCGATACTGGGTGACGCTGGGGGATCTTTGGCAGGAATAAGTAGTCAGCTGAGGACTCTCTCTTTCGCTCTTTCGCTCTTGCTTCTGTTATGTTTCGTTCCCACACATTTCTATATCAGTTTTGCAGAGATTTTGTTTCGAACTCCATTTCTCGTGTCAACCATTTCATTCCGTTATTCCTTCTCAACCCACTCAACGCCTTGTTTAACACATACGGTCGCCACCATTTCGTTCACTGGTTTTTGATACCGCTTCGATTCACTTCCATCAGTACCCACCCGTTGGAATCGATTCCCAGTCTTTGTGCATGGCATGATCTGATCACACTGTTTCGTGTTCCCACTGTTGGTTTGTTTGTGCATGGAGGATTGTGTTTAGATTGTGCTGCACGATCCCTGCGTTTCTTTCCCTATTCCCCTCTTCCGTCCCAACCTACTCGTTGGGCCGTTATGAGACATCCTTGGTCTATATTTTAGCCTCTATCAAATCCATCCTTTTGTCATTCATTGCTGGATGGGGTGGTAAGAGGGTAGTACTATGAGTCCTTGATATGAGGAGATGAAAAAGATGAGATTCATGTGGTCAATTGGAGGTTAGTGGACTCCTTTTGTACTGATGTTTGCACTGATGTTACTAGCCAAGGTAGGCAGGGGAAGGAGTGAAAGATAACATATCTCCAACTCTTGTTTTTTACAAAGGATGTTATCCTTAGGTGCATCGAAAAAAGTAGTGTTACAATTATTTGCCCTCCTAAGTTTTTATCCTATGATGTAAACCTCCAATCTTAAACCTCAATCGTTCAAACCTTAACTTTTGGATCTGCTTATACTAAACCCTAGTACCTAAATATGAATGTATCATACAATAGGTTGTTTAAGATCAAGATAATTGGGTATCTTAAATGACATCCGTTGTGTGGAACAATCTCACAAGAAATTCACAAACAATGTCTTGTCGAACTGCCACGAGTGGGTCAAGAAGATTTCTTAACCAATTTGTTTTGGGTGGTTGATACATCTTCACGTAGAAGTATAAGCATAACTCTTGGCCTCTTCCTTGATCCTTGTTGCCTCCAATTGTTTTTTAAAGCAAATTGTTTGCATAAATATATTCCTTTGTTCAGTTTGTTTTTATTTGTTTGTAAATAGCCACTAAACTAATCAAAAAGCTGTGCTCAAGTTGTGTAAGCACGCTACAATGCACAGGTTGTAGTTGTTAAGTTACCCATTATTATATGATTTTTGGTTTGTTTTAACTACACTTCAACTATCGTTTTTTATACGTACATCAAGTCAGAAAAATGATAACAATCTTAACTTTCACAGCAACAGTATGTTGTAAAATGTTTATAAATTTCATATGCAAGATAAACATTTTACAACATCTTGCATATAGAGTATTATTCTTTTTATTTTAAAAAATAAATTAAAACCTCAATTTTTCTTTGAAAGGTCAACTAAAATATGTTGATCTTTTGAACTGTCAGTGTTTATTGAATCTGCCATCACATGCTGATTTGGATTATTTATTTATTTATTTATTGTTTTCATTCTATATTTTTTTGCTATTTAATATGTCAATGTCACAACTAAGCATCTGAATTCAGTTTTTTCATTATGTTAGATGTATTCATTAGTGGATAATGTAATGATGCATCAGTAATACACACTCACTATATCAATTCCAATAATTTTCCTCACATCAATTTTTCCCAAATTTTATGATTTTATCGTGTATTTATATTTTACACATACATGCACAAATAAAAAATCAAGATGAAGTTACGTTTCAAGAAAAATCACATTTGAAAAATTAAAAATAATCAAATAAGAATATTTATATATACTATTACTATTATTGATTTTTAAATAGTCAAATCTATGTCATTTCATGCATAATTTTTAGATTTTATTTAAAAAAATTGCCAGGAGATATATAATTATTAAAACGAGTTACCCTAAAATTCACCAATAACGTATATTCATTTTCTTTACACTCCGTGTGCAGGACCTTCCAAGTAAAAAAGCCGGTTTCACACGAGGTGTACAACTGAAACAGGGTTGAAGAAAACCCCGAAACTCGAAACCGCACGTGGGAACGGACTCATTGTGGAGAAGCATCCCAGCCGTCGCTGATTCAGGATCGGACGGCTCAGAGAGCGATCAGGTCAAGCCAAGGCAAACTTCGCAGTTGCGGCAAACTCTCTTTGCGGTGCGACGCTCCGAATTTGTGCTCCTCGCCGACGATTCCTGTTGAGCAAGCTCCCGTCGTAATCTCTCGCTCTGTCACCATGTCGGTCAGCGAGCTTGCTTGCACCTACGCCTGCCTCATCCTCCACGATGACGGCATCGCCATCACTGTAAGAATCCTTCAATCGTTATTCTGGAGTTTTTAGGTCGAAATTTTAGGTTTAGTGTAGATCACTGTCTGATGCGTTGCTTGCAGCAGTTTATTTACTTGGAGGAGTTTTGTTTTGTTTTTGTCATCGAGCACGCGGGAATCTACCTTTGAGACATGTTTTTCGGTTTGAAGACAATTGTAGGGTTTCGGGTTTAGCTGAGGCTTCTGCTGGGATTCTCAAGGTTTCTTTTGTATGTGTAGTGAACTTCCTCTCAGTTACTTTCACTATAGTGTATTTTGAGGGGTGTTTGTGTTTAAGTGCTATGGAGTTGAGTTATTAAAGGATGTGGGTTTTTGTCTGATGTGCTGTCTCTCTTGTATTTTCGTTTAGAGAATGTATACCTGCAATGTTTTGGTAGCTGATGTTTTCTCTGTGCTGAATTAGGAATGTTACAGGGTTGGGATTTCTTGGATGATTGTTGACTTGCTATGACCGTCTTAGGGTTTCTGTCTGATCGCCATGTCACTCTAATGTATTGCTATTGCAGGCCGATAAGATCGCCAGTTTGGTGAAGGCTGCCAACGTTTCAGTTGAGGGCTACTGGCCTTCGCTTTTCGCCAAGCTGTGCGAGAAGAGGAGCGTTGATGATCTCATCACCAATGTCGGAGGTGGTAAGTGTTGTAATCCTGATTTCGGATGTAGGAGAACTTTAAACGCCTGGGTACCTGATTCTATATTCTTGAAACTATTTGAAGTACTTTCCACTTGATTCTTGCCTACTGGTGCATAGCACTCCATGATGAGCATCGTGCTGCTTTCACGAGAAGTCCTTCTGTATACATCCACAATTTTCTCTTTATTTACTGTTGGCTGATGAATTCCACTTGGTTCTCATGTAGGTGGTGGTGCTGCCGTCGCTGTGAGCGCTGCACCTGCTTCCTCGGCTGCCGATGAAGCTCCCCAAGTAGAGGAGAAGAAGGTAATGATACTTCCTTATGTATTTGAAACTTAAAATAAAGTTCCAACTGAAATATATGGCCTTTACAATTTAGGTTCATCTTCGGTTTAGGTCAAAATATTTTTTCTTTTAGATTGTTTCGAGTAACTGATGTCTTCCTTGTCAATGTTTCTGTTGGCTACTTCTTCCGCATCTAACTTCCACCTCTATTTTCTTCTGAAGGAATTTTAGTTTGCGATCAAAAACTATGCGCATCCTCAAACAGGATTTCCCCTGAGTTAGTTTCATTTCTCATTATCTGGTTTGATTTTGCAGGAGGAGCCGAAGGAAGAGAGTGATGACGACATGGGATTCAGTTTGTTTGATTAGAATTGCTTAATGGGTTGAGTGGGACCTTTTATATGCCAGTGTCGACCCGTTCGTGTTAAGCCGTCTATGATCACAAGGAACTTTGAAAATGTGAGGGCTCTGGCTGTTTGCATCTTATCATGCTTTGACACATTGCATTGCCAAATTGTTGGCATCGGTCGCTACCCATGTAATCTGGAAGCAAGAATGAATTCAATGTCTTAGTCACCATGCGATGACGGAGTGACAGAGTTTTCATAAGGTTGTCCTTAACCACATTTCTAGCCTTCAAATTTTTCATCCGGTTTGCTATGTGTTTTGATGTCCAGATTCTCATGATTGTGAATGCCATTGTACGGAAATCTTAGAAGTAGAGAATCTTAGTGTTTTTCGCAATATTTTGGCTCATTTTTTGATTAGCTTACTGTTTGGGATTATTAAATCTCATTAGGATTGGAAACTGTCGGTGTTCCTTATCTTCGACTACTCCATGCACTTCTGTGCCTCATCTTTTATAATTGTATCTTGGTACGTGCATCTATTTCTCCAGCAGCGATGTCACGTTTTGCATATGAGTCAGTCTCATATAATACACGAGACTGGGAATGCTTTCTCAAACGCGTTAAATCAATGATAGCATCTTTGCAGCCTCTACTTTATGAAGAGGTTTGCAGTATTAGTTCTGCGGAAGATGCTAGTCATCAAAAGTACTTAATAGTTACGAAATGCAACACTCATTGTGACTCTTCGGTGTTCAAAAAATAGGTTTATTTATATTATGTACTAATACTGATGTACATTGTTACAAGTAATATTTATGACAGTGTAGTAAAGTGTATTAATAAGATTTTTTTTCTCGGGAGGAATTAATATACGAAATGCTTTTTTATTAAAATAATAAAATAATGATACATAACAATGATCTCCAAGTATCCACGTGACATTAATTATAAAAAGATAAAAATAAAATTATAAATAATTCCACGTGACATTAATTGTAAATAAATAAATAAATAAAATTATATATATTATTTTCTAGGTTTCCTAAATATATTTTATTGAAATTAAATTTTTTATTCGTAACTAGTAAAAGTATTTTACTAGTTACGAATAAAAATTGCAATAAATCATACTTCCATGATGATTGGAGTGTATTACACACAAGTTTGCACATACAAGAATAATTAAAATGAGATTAGTTCCAAAACTTAGTTTTGCTCAACTGAAACAAATTTAAATAACTATCCACTTATCCTTAGCAACTATTACAGTTTTAATATGCTTATGCATGTTTCTACACAAGTTCTTGTACTCATTAGGAATAATTGAAGCCTAATAATCCTCAATATGCTTCCATAATTCTACCATTCCTTTGGGAGGTGTTTCATATTGGTTCAATTAATGTTTTAAAGTTACCCATAAATATTTGATTGGATTTAAGTTGAGTGATTGCGTCCGCCACCTTAGAAGAGTAAATTCTTGCAAATTGAGCCAACAATGCACTCTTGGATATATACTTTGGATCATTACTCTATTGAAAAATCTAACTTATGAGATTTAAATTATATGCATGCATTGTATGAATTTTAATCATACAATTCATAATTCATAATTTTAATCATACAAACCAAAGCTCACACAAATCACGTATTGATTCATTCTTTCCTCAATCTTACACATTATTCAGAGCCATTTGGAGTCATGCAACCCCACATCATCACTCCTCCATCTCCAAACTTGATTGTTTATTGCACCATTCTAGTACATGTATTTTGCTTGTCATGAAACCAATACCAATTGCAACCATCAGAGCAAAAGCAATTGACTTTTGTTTCATATGAGAATATTACATGATACCAATCATCATCAATCTAATGACAATGATGTTTAGCAAATTCTAATCCTACCTTCATTTGATGAAGTGTGAGCTTTGGTTTCTTATGCTTCACTTTGCATTTCAAACCTGCTTCATGTAATACTCTCCTCACACTATTATCACTCATATCAACATGAAGCTACTCTCAGTCAATTTCTAACTTTATGAACAATTTCCATGCCACCTCTAATGATTTCTCTCACACATATTAGATTTGTAGCTTAGATTGCTTCATGTCATTATATTCTAAGTATGAGCATAAGTGAGTTTTAGAGGTAATTCATTTTGGTCCACATCTTTCTCAATTTGTCTTGCATTGTGGGACTTATAATTTGGTAGCCACATCAATTACTTAAAATAGAATTTGAATCACCAACTAATTTGGTTATTATTGCAATAAATTATAAAATATAAATGGCTAATGGTAGAATTACTAATGTCATATTCAATTTTGGCAGGCATTGTAGTAAACTCACTAAATATTACTAATCTTTTTAAATACAATTTTAGAAAAAATCTTTAATAAACAAAGGACTTGTTTTTGTAATTTTATTTTAAAAAATAATCGTGGTTTTTTTGTTGTAAAATCAATAATATGTTAAGATTTAAGAAATTTATTAAAAAAGATACCAAGAGCACCAAATTTTAATTTTATATGTAAAAATTAAGTATTTATAAAATAAATTAACAATTAACAATTAATCTAAAAAATATTATCACACCATTGATCTGCATAAGTAATTGAGTAGACGAACCTAACAAATTTTATGTAAACATTTTGGAAGAGATTCTAAAGTACTTTAAATATTGAAGGATGTATATGTAAAAAAAACATTTTCTACTACAAAGTAAAATCTGGGCAGAAGCTTTACAATCAATTAGTTGCCAAATTGCAAGCCAGTAATATTACATCCATCTACAACACCCCATAATTTAGAACATTTAGATGATAACTCAATCTTAATGATCCAAAGAACATAATTGTTAGTATTAAGTAGTTGAATGTAGTAAGCACAAAAAGCTGAACTTGAAGATTTTGAAATCATAACTGAATATGAAAATCAAACTTCTCTTCTAGGGAGCTTTAACTTGCCTGGCAAAAATAAAAATGAAAACAGAATCATCAGAGTTTGCAAGTTGAGAAACAAAAATAAAGATTTTTCTAATACCGTGTTCAACTAGATGCCATGAAGGTAAAATGTTTGGATTATATTAATGAAAATTCAAAGGCCAACTGAGAACAATACCATTAGTCCATCCTGGTTACCAGAGTTGCTGTCAAATCAGGATTTCATGCTCAACTATTAAGAATCTCATAGCTGCAATTCATAGAGGAAGCAATGCTTTTCGACACTGATCTCTATCTCTTACCAAATGCTATCTTCAAAATATCAGAAGAGGAATAATTCTGATTAAAACTCTCCAGAAACAAAGCCTGCTAAAAGACTTTGACGTAAGGTTAAGGGTTGCATCCGGAGTATCTCGCTGTGCAACCCCACTACCATACAATAGAAACACTTGACAGCTCACTTTCGAAGTAAACGTTGATAGCTAGACTCAATACGGTGCTCTCCTCAGTTCAATATATTTCAGGGAAAAGTTGCTCTCCCTAAACCGTTCCTTTTGATGGAAATTAGGAAGGTGCGCTCATGCTCTGGTAATAACAATGCTGTTAAGTGGTATCTTCTCACACCTTCAGCAGTAAGCAAAAAATTCCTATGATTCCAGTTGCATGTAATTAAACCTCAATAATAATCTCCATTTATCACTGCCTCACGTGTCTCCACGACAAACATTTACACAACATGGAAACAACAGTTTCATTTAAGCCTACTACATGTTGAGACAAGTATAAAGGCACTCAGGCAGACTAATTGAGATTCACAGCAGCAGCGGGGCAACCACAAACACTTTCAGCTACACAGAATTAGCAGGTGCAGGGCCTCTACGTCAAAGAATATATCCTTTCAGACCTTACAACAGGAACATGAAACCAAGCTGCTCAAATTGAACCTTAACGTTTTCTTTTGATCTTAAATCCCGCAGGGTGGCACACATCCTAAAATACTAAACCCTAAACCCTAGGTGTACAGGTTACTCCTTCAAGTGTTGATCCAACTATGCCAAAGTCTCAATTGAGTGGCAATTGAATTCACTGTGCAGACTAACAATACCTTCCGACGCAGCCTAATCATCTCCGTAGGCGAGAAACCGGTACCGCTGTTCATACTCCTCGTCAAAACTCAACGTAGCATTAAACCACTTGGGAAACCGCACAAGGTCACCCGCATAGAAATACGCGTGATCCTCACAGTCCTCCGGCGTGACACGCACGGAGCCCTTGACAACATAAACCTGCTCGTCCACCTTCCACTCGTGATCAAAGGCACAGCAATCCGATTCCCACTTGGACCACCTCTCGACACAGAGTTCCTCCTTCCGCTTTTGGTCCACGTTCCGCTCCACCTGAATTTTAAACCGCTCTTCCACGGGTCTCAGGGGCCTTGCAAAGCACATAACTGCGTCTTTCCGACCGGATTCCAGCTTCAAAATGCTTCCGAAACGCCCTGGCGAGCTCAATGGGGGAGAGATGATGCCATTAGGGCTGGAGGAGGTCTTCTGAGAAGATGAAACCAGTGGTGTTCCAGAATGACACGGCAAGGCCATCATCACAGACGACGCCGGCGCCATTGCGTCCCTCCCCAATCCCACTCGACACACACAGATATCCTTCAGAGATCGTGAAGAATTTTGCTCCAAGATTGTGCACAGAGGATTGTGCACAGAGGATTGTGCATTCTCAAACCCCGTCGAGGAGCGTGGGGCTCGGGGCCGCGGATAGAGCTCCCACGGATGAATGAGGGCGGATGTACGAAATGGGTGATGGTGAATCAATGAATGAAATGGTGTCGTGGATGATGTATGGATGGATGAGAGGCGTTTGATTCGACGATGGTGGTATTCTGTTCGTCGACGGATGTAACTAATCTGACCAAGTTAAAAGCTCGTGTAGTTTGTTCGTATATTATCAAAATCGAAAATAAAAATAAAATAAAAATAAAAGAAAAAGAAAAAGAAAAGAACAGCACTGTGACATGATCTGTGTTGAACATGTTGTAAAATTCCTCCCTACAAATTCTCACTACATTTTTTTGTTTTTGTTTTTTGTTTGTTTGTTTGTTTGTTTGTTTGTTTTTTTTTTTTTTTTTTTACAATAAAGTCTAGGGATTATAATTCTTTACGATACATTTGTAAAAATGATTTTCGATTTTTTAAAATATAAATCGAGATATGATTGATATTATGAAAATAAAAACAAAAGATATGTCCAAAAATATATATTTCAAATATACATGTTGATTCTACATTGCCACCTAAACTCATATCTTGTGAAGAAAGTTT